TAATTTTCACTGGGTTTAAATTTCACTGATTTACCATTTCAGGCATATTCAGTGAGTTTTAAATTCACGGTTTCGTCATTTAGATAATGTGTTCTATGCTAAATTTTACATATTCACTGTGTTTTAATTTAGCGCATTTTTCCAGTCAGCGAAATAAGCTAAATTAAAACCCAGTGAATAATTACCCCCTTTACAGTAGTAATTCAGAATAGAACAAGGACAATCAATATACTCGCAATTCATGCATATCCATATCAATGAATATTTCACATAAAGTTTCCAATGCACTAAATGAAGCTCTATGAATGGTGTGAGTGCGACATTAAGAAGCGGTAAATACCTTGAAGGTGAGGTGGCAGTGGGAATGTAACTGACTGGTGTCCCTTGTGTAATTGAACCTGCAGTTGGTGCTAAACCCAACGGTGATGGTTTATCTGCTTTCATCGGTTTCGGCGATGTCTTGGCTACTAGTGGAGGTGGGGGTGGGACATTCGATGGCTTAGTAGTCCTAGACGACGGCCTTGAAGGAGGCTGAGCCATAACATGCCCTCTTTCTGACGCTGGAATCAAAGCATACGGTGATCCAGTCCTCGGAGGAAGACCTGGTTTTCCAATTCCTTGACCTTGATTTGGTGGCGTAGTCATGTAAGCACGTTCCCTTTCGGCAGCCACATGTTCTTGTTGTTGGCGTATGACTTCAGCAGCTACAGCCATTTCCTTAAAGACACTTTCTGGATAGTAGTAAGGACATATGATGTGGTAACATTGGTCTCTGTAAACTTGTATGTACATATCTCTGCAATACGCTTCATGTTCATAGAAATCAGGTTTATGCTGCGACGTATGGGAAATGTGTGGGGATATATACGGAGAAGAAGAACGAGATCTGGATCTAGGTATACTGGCAGCCATATCCGTTGTCTCCATGCGTTGCTGAGCTAAAGCTGCTTTGCTTTCTGCACTAAGACTCAAATCTTCTGGCTTATCAACCTTAATAGAGTCGTCTGCTTCAATTTTAGTTGTAATGTATGGTTTTCTTTCAAAAGGCATACTGGTTACTGGACTTGAATCTTTGACTATGGTTGGTGGAACTGTACTAACTGTTGAATTATTTGGTGGAACAGGAGACAATCTTTCCTTGATGACTGGCTTTTCTGCATCTGAGCTGGATGTATGTGGTGGCGAATTAGAATCCTTGCCTGATTGAACAAAAACACACAAAAACACAAGAGATATGATTATGGGTTGAATGTTAGATGGCTTATTGAATGCAGTTGTACTTCGCTTGGAATTAATTGACACTATTTTCGCCGAAGGAATGATTCTGTGAAAATAAAATCCAGCAAATATACCTTTTTTCTTATATTTTACATTCAACTTGTCAAAAATCAGTGAAAATAAATTCCATACAAAAAACCTAAAAAGTCTTTTCAGCAAAAATTAATTCCAGCTAAAATAAAGTATTTTACAGTAGACAGGGTGTTTGACCTGATGTATACTCACCTAGGTGCCTGTCAATTGCACAGTTGATGAGATCTCTTATAGTTGTTTAGACCTTTAGCGCTTGAACCCAATAACTCTGGCATCCCAGCTAACCTTGGAACGTATCTCTGACCCTTCTCAGGGACGGTGTCTGGGATTTTTCCATCGGTGTTTCTCTTCCTTATTTCCATCATTTTCTTTCTTTGTACTACCCACCACACCTTCAGTATGTCCAGTACCTTCGTCTGCACTACATGTAGCGCTGCTGTCATGATCGCTTTCATCGTTTTTTTCTAAAGCGGCTTTAATTTCAGACTGACTTGGCAGGGTATCGATTTCTCGTCTCTGTTCCTCAAACGTATCCACTTGTGATGATTCTCCAGTTGTTATTTCTTCAGTCTCTTCTTTCGATATCTCTTTGTTTTCTACTTCTTTTGTAACTTCCCCATCTTCACCAACTCCACTAGCAGACGTGACATCCTCCACAGCAAGATCTGATGTTGGTTCAGCCGTAGCTACAGCAGCAGAATCAGCAGCTGGTGGGGAAATCTCTGCAGGTTTGCTGCTCGATGAAGCTTGAGACAGCTCAACGGGTTTGCTGCTCGAAGAAGCTTGGGAAAGTTCGTCAGGTTGGCTGCTCGAAGAAGCTTGGGACAGCTCATCAGGTTTGCTGCTCGAAGAAGCTTGGGACAACTCAACAGGTTTGTTGCTTGATGAAGCTTGGGACAGCTCGTCAGGTTTACTGCTCGATGAAGCATGGGACGGCTCGTCAGGTTTGCTGCTCGATGAAGCTTGGGTCAACTCAACAGGTTTACTGCTCGATGAAGCTTGGTCATTCTCATTCTCGCTGGCGCTTGCAGTATCTGAGCTTTCTTCATCATTATCAGCATCGTTATCATCACTGGATACCGAAGAGTCCTCCTCATCAGAGGCACCAGTCACAGTTGAGGCAACACTATCGGCGGCAGAATCACGCCGACTACCACGTGTGATCTGTAATAATCAAGATCAAAGAAGGCTCAGATGTTAAGGTTGAAGAAAA